AAAAAAAAAATTGATAATTATTAAACGATACGGCGAATGATTTCAGTATTGGGCGAAACTCAGCAGTTTCGTAAGAAACACTCACTACGACGTGATCGGTCTTGAACCTAATCGTATATACAACTTCCGTGTTCGCGCGGAGAATCAGTATGGAGTGTCAGAACCGTTGCAAGCCGATGAACCGATCACCGCGAAATTCCCATTCACGGTGCCTGAAGCTCCTGGGCAACCACGTGTTATCGATTGGGATACTTCGAACGCAACTGTGGTATGGACCCGGCCGATGTCCGATGGTGGATCTCGTATTCAAGTATGCACATCAATGTTATTACGCATAGAACTTCTAAAGTGCAATGATCAGACTGCCAATTTTTACTTATTCTCATAGCTTTATAAAAGAAATGGAACTATATTTTAATAAATACAAATGCAAAGTCTAGTAAACCCAGTGAATCAAAAATGCACTTTACAAAATTCCTGTAGAAAAAAATTACAAATTAGTTGTCCCGACTCATTCTATTCAGTTCTCGTGTTAGCCAAATGACAAACGTATTTACCTTTGATAAAAATGATTTCAAAATTTAACGTAAGACACCGGAGAAAATTCGCTTCTGAAAGGGTTAGAAGGATTAACACTAGAACTACCGACGACTAAAATGGCTGTAATATAATAAGTTGCACGAAAAAATCATTTAAATCTTTAGAAATATATTGTTTTATACCTATAAAGTTTCTAATGGAAATATAAATTGATCATTTCGATAACTTTGGTAGTTCTAGTATTAACCAGTCTGTTACTTCTATCCTGTAACAAGTCACGCACGTAATGAACCAAATATCAATCGATCTTTTTCTCTTCAGGGTTACAAGGTCGAATTCCGCGACCCTGCGGACGATGCCACATGGCGAGTGGCGAACGACTATCTCGTCAAAGACACCACCTACATCTGTTACAACCTGTTAAGTGGACACGAGTACGAGTTTAGAATACGCGCGAAGAACGCAGCTGGTTTCAGCAAACCCAGCCCACCATCGGCACCATTCAAGCTGAAGAGCAAGTTCAACGTGCCTTCACCGCCAGGCACGCCGCAGGTCGTGAAGGTTGGCAGGAACTACGTCGATCTAAAATGGGAAGCCCCGATCTCCGATGGAGGTAGCCGCATCACCGGTTACGTGATCGAGAAACGGGAGGTTGGAAGCGCACTCTGGGCCAAGTGCAACGAGTACAACGCCATCGATACAGAGTACACTGTTCTGAATCTGATGGAACGCGGAGACTACGAGTTCCGAATCTTCGCGGTGAACGCTGCCGGAAGATCAGAGCCAAGCTCTTGCACTACACCGGTGAAGATCTGCGAGGTCGAGGGTGGCGAGAAACCGGAATTCGTCAGACCTCTGCCGATCAGTACGAACGTGCCACTTGGCAAAACTTTGGTCCTCGAGTGCGAGGCTACTGGGAAACCATTGCCCACCGCAAGGTTCGTGTTTCTCAGAGTTTTCTCCCTTTTGATGCTTTGGTGAAGGATAGCGTTAAATATTAACTAGTATCATGGTGTAACATCTATGATGTACGAATTGAAATCATTGCTTTTAACTGTATTCTTCAGTTTTATCAAGTGCGAAATCTTCATTTCTCATTTCTACAATTTAAATATTTTTTTCTAAAGATGATTGAAGAATGATTTTAACTGTAATTCCTTTTCATGCTTTGCATTATGCATCACAATTTGTGACCACAGATATAATGTTGAACATTTACTGTATGGATGTAATAATCACATACGCATATCTTCATAATATATTTTTATAACACTTTCATATAATACATATTGTTTTCATGCACTTTCATACATATACTTTCATACATTTATATAAAAAATTTTCTTACTCTTACGACGAAATATTTCAATCAACACGTATATTGACCGCGTACTTTTTATTTTTGTCTAATACGCGAAAATTAAAATTCCAACCGATTGATAATTTCGTATCGAAACTGGTAAAGTCCTGATATCTATTAACAATCATTGTCACTTTACAACGTACTTACAATCTACATAACATCACACTTTATTTTCATTTCTCTTTTTCAACTAACAGCACTTTATAAATTCTAGGTGGCTGAAGAACGGCAGAGAGATCACAATCGGCGGCCGTTTCCGCACCGAAGCTCTCGACGGAATCTACAGACTCGTCATATCCGATGTAATGGACGCCGATGACGGCGACTATAGTTGTCAAATCTCAAACCCACTCGGTTTAGCTACCACCACTGGCCGTCTGAAGATCGGTACTCCGCCTCGTATCGAGCGCATGCCAGACTATCTATACCTAGCCGAGAACGACAACACGAAGATCAAGATCTACTACAGCGGCGACCAACCGATGAACATCACTCTGAAGAAAGACGGTCAGAAGATCGTCGAAACCACTCACATCAAGTACACCGTGTTTGACGAATATCTCATCATCTTCATCAAAGACATTCAGAAAGAAGACGCCGGGGTGTACGACTTATCGATCTCAAACGACAGCGGTAGCGTGAGCGGTTCGTTCAACGTGTACATCACCGGACTACCTGGACCACCAACCGGACCTCTCGACGTCACAGACATTAATAAACACACGTGCACTCTCACCTGGCGGCCACCTAAATTCGACGGTGGTCTTCGTGTCACTCATTACGTCGTCGAACGTCGTGACGTCAGTCATACACACTGGATCATAGTTTCTTCGTTCTGCAAGGATTGCTCGTTCTTGGTACAAGGTCTGATTGAAGGACAAGAGTATCTGTTCCGCGTGATGGCCGTGAACGATAACGGAATGGGACCTCCTCTCGAGGGAACCAATCCTATCAAGGCCAAGGCACCGTTCGATCCACCTGGTCCTCCGGGAACGCCAAAGGTCACCGAGGTTGGCGGAGACTTCGTGAATCTCTCGTGGGAGAGACCAGAATCGGATGGCGGCTCGAAGATCCAAGGCTACTGGATCGACAAACGCGAGGTCGGTGGCCAAGCCTGGCAACGCGTGAACGTGGCCATCTGTCTACCTACTCAGATCAATATCAGCAACTTAATCGAGGGAAGGCAGTACGAGTTCCGAGTATTCGCTCAGAACGCTGCTGGCATCGGGCCGGAGTCGAAGGCCTCGACTTCCGTGAAGATCACCGATCCTCAAGCGGCCAAAGCCCCAGAGGTGATTCAACCTTTGCACAAGGTGAGCTGCGTGCAGAACCACAACGCTCAGTTCGTGTGCAAGATCGTTGGTATTCCAAGGCCGACGATCACGTGGTTCAAGGGAGCTCGCGAGATCGTCAGTGGATCTCGGTACGACATATACTCGGAGGGCGATACGCACACGCTGATCATTCGCGACGTATTTGGAGAGGACGCGGACGAGTATGTCTGTCGCGCTGTGAACAAATGCGGAGTTAAGTCGACTAAGGGTGAACTTCTGATCAAGACGCTTCCGAAACTGAACGTACCGCCGAGGTTCAGAGATACCGCGTTCTTCGATAAAGGTGTCAACGTGGTGATTAAGATTCCGTTTACCGGCTACCCGAAACCGAAGATCAGCTGGGTCAGAGAGGGAGAGGTGATCGAGTCTGGAGGCCACTACACCGTAGACGTGAAGGAAAGGCACGCTGTACTCACGATCATAGACGGTAGTCGTATCGATTCTGGACCTTATCGAATCACCGCTGAGAACGACATGGGTCAAGACTCCGCGATCATCAAGATACAAATTAGTGACAGACCGGATCCACCGAGGTTCCCGCAGGTGGACAACGTTGGCCACGACTCGTTGGCTCTAACGTGGAAACCACCAGTCTGGGACGGCGGTAGCAATATCACTAATTATCTCGTAGAGAAACGAGAGCATCCGATGACCAGCTGGATCAGAGTTGGCAATACCAGGTTCTGTTCTATGGCGGTTACTGGTCTCAGTCCTGGACACCAGTACGACTTCCGTATTTGCGCTGAGAACATCTATGGAAGATCTGACCCGAGTGAAGTGACACCATTGATCACGACGAAGGGAACTATCAAGAGAGAGTTCAAACAGAAGGAGTACAAGGTGGACGAGACTGGCAAGAAGATCCGCGGACGAAGCGACGAGAAGCCACGAGACTACGATCAATTTGTGTTTGATATTTATAGTAAACATGTCCCACAGCCGGTTGAGATTAAACATATCTCGGTGTACGATAGATATGATATTCTCGAGGAGATTGGAACTGGCGCGTTCGGTGTGGTGCATCGTTGTCGCGAAAGAGCTACCGGAAACATATTCGCGGCCAAGTTTATCCCTGTGTCTCATGCGATGGAGAAGGAACTGATTAGGAAAGAGATTGATATAATGAATCAGCTACATCATCCGAAGTTGATCAATCTTCACGACGCATTCGAAGACGATGACGAGATGGTGTTGATATTCGAGTTGTAAGTATATTTGAATGAATTCTCGAGAATGTGAGGTAAAGTGAGATAAGATTGTTTCAATGAAGAGAATAGAGACAGAGAATATTGGGATCAAACTAAGCTGAATGATTTTTTTGTGATTTGTTAGATTTGATTAAACAATTGAAGTTTGGAATGTATATGTTGATAGCTTGATCATAGTTTTTTATAAAAATTTATAAGGATAAATTTATACTGTAATATTTAGTACTTAGTACTATATTTTACTGTATAGTATAATTATCATATTTTTCCATATTTGGTATATTCTTTTATGTTGTATGCATTTTATATATTTCTGTAATTCTAAATTGTTTAGTTATTACATGAGAAACTAGTCATCAATCTAATTATTCCGCGCAAAATTGAAACTTCAGGATGTTGAAGCTTAGCTTTAGTCTTTTTAATCGCGTTTCTTTCGTTTAGCTTGTCCGGTGGTGAACTATTCGAGAGGATCACAGCGGAAGGCTACATCATGTCCGAGTCAGAAGTTATCAACTATATGAGACAGATTTGCGAAGGCGTGAAACATATGCACGAAAAGAACATTATACACTTAGGTGAGAAAAGTCTGTCCTTATTTTTCTATTTTACAACTGTGCAATACAATTCTATTTATATGGATAAAATGTTAATTAACGCCCGATTAAGTGAATTTGTTGAATAAAAAAGAGAAACATTAATTAAATTTTCAGACATCAAACCTGAGAACATCATGTGCCAGACACGCAAGAGCACCAACGTCAAATTGATTGACTTTGGCTTGGCTACGAAACTCGATCCAAACGAGGTGGTCAAGATCAGCACTGGCACTGCAGAATTTGCTGCACCTGAAATCGTTGAACGCGAACCTGTCGGCTTCTACACAGATATGTGGGCTTGTGGTGTCTTAGCCTATGTTTTGTAAGCAATGATTCGTTTATTTGAGTGAAATATCCCTGTGAATCACTTTTATTAACTAATTAGCTGGTCATTTGGATTTCTAATTTGTCGGATATAATCATTTCTTTATTTATACTTTTCTCGTTAATTCGTAATATCTACAACAAAGGTTGCAAAATTGAAGAAACTTTTCTTTCACTTGATTTAAAATATTTAACATATGTATGATAGAATCTTATTTAAGAGATCGTGAGAAAAAATTTCGCGTCAATGCAACAGTTCATTTGCAATTCATTACAATCAATTTATATATTATCAAATTCTGTTATTTTTTTTTCTTTTTACGAAAATTCGTTTAATATCTTTTCATCTATCATTATATCTTCCATCTAAATTTTATAATTTTATGAAATTTTAAGAAACTATGATTATTACAAGTTATTGCTTGATCCTTGATGGATCGTATTCTGAAAAGTAAAAGATTAAATACTTTATTGAACGTAAAGCAAGAAAGATAATATAAATAAGATAATATAAATAAATTTTGTCATATTTGTATCTCCAAGAACTGAAGTCGATCTAACTAGAAATAATTTGTCTTTATTAACTTTCAGTTTACAAGAAGAAATTTTTAGTGATGACATATGATACCATTAATAGATTAATTGAATTGCAAATAATTGTTATAGATTAAGCGGCCTTTCGCCGTTCGCCGGAGACAATGACATCGAGACTTTGAAGAACGTTAAGGCCTGCGACTGGGACTTCGACGAAGAAGCGTTCCGCGACGTCTCCGAAGAGGGCAAGGACTTCATTAGGCGATTGCTCATCAAAAACAAAGAGTACTTACTTAAAATTCTTACTTAAAATGAACTATAACATTCGTATGAACTATAACATATTTATAACATTCAATAGGTATAATAGGTGTAACCAAACAAGATTCAATACTTTTTAATTTAATATTATTAATTAATCTAATATTATGACCTATATTATTAAAAAAAACAACACATTTTTTTATTGATAACTTATTTATATTTCTTTTCAATTATTGTATTTAGTAAATTGGTAACTATATTCATTACAGTTCATACATATTCGTAATAATTCTGTTCAAACATAGGACAGAATTTAATCTTTCCGAATAATCTAATAACAGTATTAAGTAAAGTGTTTGGGTATATTTTTTCTGCATTTATACTTTACAGTTTACATATTTTTCTGACTATACTGTACAACAACAGACATGTTCATTTTCTATACACAATGTACTGAAAATACACAGAGAAATCATTAGTGATGTTAAAAATGATGGATCTGTGTACCGAATTTCATATTAGAAGATTAGTAGGGAAATTTTTTTAATAGATAATATTTTCAATGTGCAATTCATATTAATGAAATATTCTTTGCAATGTAGGAAACGTATGACCGCCCATGAATGTCTCCTTCATCCGTGGTTGACCGGAGATCACAGCAACCGTACAACACCAATTGCAAGCAGTCGATACCTGAACTTCAGAGACAGGCTGCGAGCTAAATATGAGAACTGGGACAAATATGTTCTTCCGATTGGTCGACTAGCTGAATATTCTTCGCTCAGAAAGCTGTTGATCGACAAATACAAGATCTATGATTCCTGCTTCGGTAAGAGATTATAATGTTCCTCTAAATTAACAGATTTATTTGAAATTTTTGATAAATGAATCAATTTTATGAAATACACGGTTGAATGAACTTTTGAGTTCACTCAAACTGCTCAAATTATATGAATGAAAAAAGTACACAAGTACAAGGGAAGAATCAGTGAACAGTATTTACTTTTTAATATTTTGTATACTTTGTAATTTTTCTTTTTACTTATTAAGAATATATTTAATTTTTTATAGAGAATATATTACATTTTTTAAAAATATACTTATAATATATTATTATATAGTCTTTTACAATTTATAGATAAGTAGATATATAATATATATTTTTGAATATTTTTAAAGCTCAAGAAGCTTATTCCCTGTTCAATATCTGAATTATAAATATGTGTTAAATTTCTATTAGGTTACTTACATTTTACATTGATGTACTTCTTATTTTGTACAAAATAATTGTAATTTAAAATTAAAAATTTCTAAATTAAATGTAACTGAAACCCTTAGTTAAAAAGTTATCGAAAATCTGGTCTGCACTTGAAAGAAACGAGAACCAAGAGAAATTTTCAGTTTATTTTATTTCTAAATAAAAGTAAAATTTTTAATTAACATCATCTTAAAATGATGTACAGATCGACGGCAAGCGGCACCAAGATTCGTCATCAAACCTACAAGTGCATTCGCGTACGAAGGACAAAGCGTGAAGTTCACGTGCCGTGTAATCGCGATCGCCTCGCCGACTCTCACGTGGTTCCACAACAATCAAGAGCTCAGACAATCCGTGAAATTCATGAAACGATATCACGGCGATGATTACACGTTCATCATTAACAGAGTGAAACTGGAGGACAGAGGAGAGTACGTGATCAGGGCAGAGAATCATTATGGCTACAGAGAAGAGGTCGTTTTCCTGAACGTGCAACGTACGTATAAAACCTATATTACC